TAGGCATGGCGGTGTGTGTGTTAGGCATGGCGGTGTGTGTTAGCCATGGCAGTGTGTTAGCCATGACGGTGTGTGTTAGCCATGGCAGTGTGTGTTAGCCATGGCAGTGTGTGTTAGCCATGGCAGTGTGTGTTAGGCATGGCAGTGTGTGTGTTAGGCATAGCAGTGTGTCTTAGGCATGGCAGTGTGTGTTATATGGCAGTGTTAGCCATGGCAGTGTGTGTTAGCCATGGCAGTGTGTGTGGGCATGGCAGTGTGTGTTAGGCATGGCAGTGTGTGTGTTAGGCATGGCGGTGTGTGTTAGCCATGGCAGTGTGTGTGTTAGCCATGGCAGTGTGTATCCATGGCGGTGTGTTGGCCATGGCAGTGTGTGTTAGGCATGGCAGTGTGTGTTAGGCATGGGGTGTGTGTGTTAGCCATGGCAGTGTGTGTAGCCATGGCAGTGTGTGTTATATGGCGGTGTGTAGCCATGGCGGTGTGTGTGGTTTAGCCATGGCGGTGTGTGTTAGCCATGGCAGTGTGTGTTATATGGCAGTGTGTGTGTTAGCCATGGCAGTGTGTTAGCCATGGCAGTGTGTGTGGGCATGGCTGTGTGTGTGTTGCCATGGCAGTGTGTGATAGCCATGGCAGTGTGTGTGTGTTAGCCATGGCAGTGTGTGTGTTAGCCATGGCGGTGTGTGGTAGGCATGGCAGTGTGTGTTAGGCATGGCAGTGTGTGTGTTAGCCATGGCAGTGTGTGTGTTAGCCATGGCAGTGTGTGTGTTAGCCATGGCAGTGTGTATGTTAGCCATGGCAGTGTGTGTTAGCCATGGCAGTGTGTGTTAGGCATGGCAGTGTGTGTTGCATGGCGGTGTGTGTTGACATAGCAATGTGTGTTAGCCATGGCAGTGTGTGTTAGCCATGGCAGTGTGTGTGTGTGTGTTAGCCATGGCAGTGTGTGTGTGTGTGTGTGTTAGCCATAGCAGTGTGTGTGTGTGTGTGTGTGTGGCCATGGCAGTGTGTGTGTGTGTGTGTGTGTTAGCCATGGCAGTGTGTGTGTGTTAGCCATGGCAGTGTGTGTGTGTGTTAGCCATGGCAGTGTGTGTGTGTGTGAGCCATGGCAGTGTGTGTGTTAGCCATGTCAGTGTGTGTTAGCCATGGCAGTGTGTGTGTTAGGCATGGCAGTGTGTGTGTGTTAGCCATGGCAGTGTGTGTTAGGCATGGCAGTGTGTGTTAGCCATGGCAGTGTGTGTGTTAGCCATGGCAGTGTGTGTTAGGCATGGCAGTGTGTGTGTGTGTGTGTGTGTGTTAGGCATGGCGGTGTGTGTGTGTTAGCCATGGCAGTGTGTGTGTGTGTGTTAGCCATGGCAGTGTGTGTTAGGCATGGCAGTGTGTGTTAGCCATGGTGGTGTGTGTTAGGCATGGCAGTGTGTGTGTGTGTGTGTGTGTTAGCCATGGCAGTGTGTGTGCATGGCGTGTGTGTTAGGCATGGCAGGTGTGTGTTAGGCATGGCAGTGTGTGTTAGGCATGGCAGTGTGTGTTAGGCATGGCAGTGTGTGTTAGGCATGGCAGTGTGTGCTAGGCATGGCGGTGTGTGTTAGGCAGGCAGTGTGTGTTAGTCATGGCAGGTGTGTGTGTTAGTCATGGCAGTGTGTGTTAGCCATGGCAGTGTGTGTGTGTTAGCCATGGCAGTGTGTGTGTGTTAGCCATGGCAGTGTGTGTGTGTTAGCCATGGCGTGTGTGTTAACATGGCAGTGTGTGTTAGGCATGCAGGTGTGTGTTAGGCATGCAGGTGTTAGGCATGCAGTGTGTGTGTTAGTCACATAGGTGTTAGGCAGCAGTGTGTGTTAGTCATGGCAGTGTGTGTTGGGCATACAGTGTGTGTTAGGCATGGCGGTGTGTGTTAGGCATGGCAGTGTGTGTTATCAGGCAGTGTGTGTTATGGAGTTGCAGTGTGTGTTAAGCAAGGGCAGGTGTGTGTGTTAGGCATGGCAGGTGTGTGTTAGGCATGTAGTGTGTGTTGTGGCATGTCAGTGTGTGTGTTAGGCATGCAGTGTGTGTTAGGCATTCAGTGTGTGTTAGGCATGGCAGTGTGTTGTCATGGCAGTGTGTTAGGCATGCAGTGTGTGTGTGTTAGGCATGGCAGTGTGTGTGTTAGGCATGGCAGGTGTGTTAGGCATGCAGTGTGTGTGTGTTAGCCATGCATGCAGTGTGTGTAGGCCGGTTAGCCATAGTGTGTGGTGTTAGCATGGCAGTGTTAGGCATTGCAGTGTGTTAGGCATGGCAGTGTGTGTTAGGCATGGCAGTGTGTGTTAGCACATGCAGGTGTTCGGTAGTGTGTGTTAGGCATGGCGGAGGTGTGTGTGTTAGGCATGGATGTGTGTTGTGTGTTAGGCATGGCAGTGTGTGTGTTAGGCTGCAGTGTGTGTGTTAGCATGGACGGTGTTTAGGCATTGCAGTGTGTGGTGTGTGTGTGTTAGCCATGGCAGTGTGTGTTAGGCATGGCAGTGTGTGTTAGCATGCGGTGAGATGGCAGTGTGTTAGGCATGGCAGTGTGTGTTAGGCATGGCGGTGTGTGTAGTGCATGTGCAGTGTGTGTTAGGGTGGCAGTGTGTGTTACCATGGCAGTGTGTGTGTGTGTGTTAGGCATGGCGGTGTGTGTTGGGATACACAGTGTGTTAGGGCACTTCAGGCAAAGTGTGGCAGTGTGGGGCATGCAGTGTGTTAGCCATGGCAGTGTGTGTTAGGCATGGCAGTGTGTGGGCCTGCAGTGTGTGTTAGGGCACGGCAGGTGTGTGTTAGGCAGCAGTGTGTGTTAGGCACAGTGTGTGTTAGGCATGGCGGTGTGTGTTAGGCATGGAGGTGTGTGTTAGGCATGGCAGTGGTAGTGTACAGTGTGTGTTAGGCATGGCAGCATGGCAGTGTGTGTTAGGGCATGGCGCATGGCAGGTGTGTGTTAGGCATGGCAGTGTGTGTTAGGCATGGCAGTGTGTGGCTAGGCATGGCAGTGTGTGTTAGGCATGGCAGTGTGTGTTAGGCATGGCAGTGTGTGTTAGGGCATGGCAGTGTGTGTCAGGCATGGCAGGTGTGTGTCTGAAGCATGGCAGTGTGTGTGTTAGGCATGGCAGTGTGTGTGTTAGGCGGCAGTGTGTGCTAGGCATGGCAGTGTGTGTTAGGCATGGCAGTGTGTGTGTGTTAGGCATGGCAGTGTGTGTTAGGCATGACAGTGTGGTTAGGCATGTGTGTGCATGGCAGTGTGTGTGTGCTAGGCATGGCAGTGTGTGTGTGCTAGGGCATGGCAGTGTGTGTGCTAGGCATGGCAGTGTGTGTGCTAGGCATGGCAGTGTGTGTTAGGCATGGCAGTGTGTGCAAGCAGGGCATGGCAGTGTGTGTGCTAGGCATGGCAGTGTGTGTGCTAGGCATGGCAGTGTGTGTTAGGCATGGCAGTGTCTGTTATGCATGGCAGTGTGTGTTAGGCATGGCAGTGTGTGTGTGTTAGGCATGGCAGTGTGTGTGTGTTAGGCATGGCAGTGTGTGCTAGGCATGGCTGTGTGTGTTAGGCATGGCAGTGTGTGTTAGGCATGGCAGTGTGTGCTAGGCATGGCAGTGTGTGCTAGGCATGGCAGTGTGTGTTAGGCAAGAGTGTGGGATACAGAGCGTGGAGTAAGACAATTTACACCAGTATAAAATCAATAAACTGTACTGTATCTATAAATTTATAAACATCTCTTCAACTTTGCTACACACAGTCAGGTATCCCTAGTTGCCATCTTGAACACTTACCAAGCATAAGAATGTATGCACTAATGCCTATTCACAAGTAAAAAGACATCAACAATCATATATATATATATATAAAACTCGTACCAGTTATAATTATGAACTGGCCAGTGTAATAAGAACAATAATATCTTGAGTTTAACACGTAAAATTAAATATTTCCATCACCACCCTTGTGCAATTATCAAAACGTTACAATAACCGAACTTTCATATCAATTCACATATACCTGTATACTATTCAACACTTTAGAGGTCAAGTGTCGTATTTATCACACTCCAAATACGTGCATGTCTCAGGGAGAATGACAGGTTCAAAGAATGACACCTAGTTTGTCAATAACACTCACTACTACTTGATCCCATTCTTGGACATACCCGTTAAAATGCAATAATTCGTGTACTAAAGTAATACTGTATAGCTGATGCAAAAAACACGAGTCACAGCCCTTAACATAGGTGGTCAACTGCCAATTAGGAGACAGGAAACAGCTGACGGTCTCATTAACATTAGGACTTTCCTCCCAGTTGCCACGACCCGGCGCCACCAACAAGCACTTCAGCTTTGACATTTAGGGGAGGTGGGACGTGCCATGTTTGTGGAGGTAAGGGGGGGTAATTTACTTCATGTTGAGGAAACTTCAATCATGCCGAGCAAGATGCATTCCTTTGTCAACATTGGGGTAAAGCAGTTGTTATGAGGCAGACTAATATGGCGCGAGCCCCACCCCCTTCTTTAATACACTCGAAATGAATGAATTATGTAAAATAGTGACAATAGGAAGGGAAAATAATACGGAATAGAGAGATGAGATGATGGATCACCTGCCCTTTGCCCTACCCTGCACAGCTGATCCTCGCGCTAAAGTAACACCCAACCAAATTAATGGTTGGCGTCTCACGCTTGCACTCACACCAACCCCTTCAAACACTTCACTAATTCCTTCATTTTAGCATTATCGATTCTCAAACGCAACGTGTACAACACATATATATGTATTGGGTTCATTTACAACAAAACATGGGTTAATAACGAGATATAAATGCCGATAGAAGATGGTACACCCTTATTGATTACCGCAACGGTTCTTGTCACTCGAATTATTTCCCCTAAAGCACAGTCTGTAACCGACATATCCACCTAACAAATACCCACAAGCAATACATCATAAACTAATACACACTATAACACTGTCATCCTGGCTTAAAAGATCCTAATAATGGTATAGAAAAGCATCTTACCGGAGTGAGGACGCAGACGACAACCTCAGGCCTCACCACCGCCGTCTGTTGGCTCTCTCCGCCACTACTGTCGCCTTGACTACCCCACGCTACCTATATCTTCTCTAGTTAATTCTCTAGGTATAGAAGCCTTAATACACAATAACCACGTCTCATTAAAAATGGATTCTTTAATTTATTTGTGGTCTTCATTTTTTTTTAGTTTATTAGATATTTGTACCGTTAAAATTGGTCGTCTACTTTTTTTATTCCTGTTCTAAACAAATGGACATACAGTATATAGGCTCCTAAATATAATTCTTAAACATGCTAGTCTATAGCCTGGACATTAGACTCATAACACAAACTAAGATTAATTCATGTAAATGCACATAACCAGTTTTTTTAAGCCAGTAAGTTTGAGACACGTGACTTAATGGATGGATACAATTAGCAAATTCTAGACATGAATATTTGATTGAATTGTGCCCATTGAGGTGCCTTTACTTTTCATTAAGTCCCATCTTGCTCTTCTATAATACTGCATAGACTAGACAAATGTAAAACATGTAAGGGCACCTTGAAAGTGTGTGGTGTTAACTATTACGTAATCCTGCTTCGAACATTCTAAAGCAAGCACATTTAAAGTATTTTACATGTCGTAGCACATTGACTTTAAATCAATAACTGTTTAGAGATAGACCATTTAGATAAATATAAGATCTTCATACAGTTTATCAGCAAGGTTCAATTTTTTCTTAAGACCAGACGACACTCGGACGAGGTGATCCAAGCCGTGAACCCCAATGACCTCTGTTTTAACTTAAAAGAAAAGTATAACGTGACCAGGATGAACTTACATGCTATGTTCTCATGCAGACATGCAACATACATAAACACAAAGACCTTTTTCATGTTATTCAAATTAAGAAATTATCTCGTAGGCAATGAAACAACTTACCTCAGCATTTGATAGATCAAGATGCAAATAATTGCAGAACCCAGAATAGAGTATGGTAGTGGTAGTGTACCATGTGTAAATGGCTTAAGTGCAATGGGCTTCAACTAGTGTTTTTATACATCAACTCAAATATGTATGCCAATTTTTTATTGTTTTAGGATATACCATACCTGCATAAAGCCCAGGAGTGATACGTTCTCATTAAGGTTTTCAAGATTAATTTTTTTTCAAGTGGGTTCATTAACAGGTTCATTTTAATTAATCAGTAAGGGAGACCCATTTCAGACTGTTCCCTATTGTTAACTGGGTGTGTGTTTCTTGATTAAGCCACACTCCAAAAGTGACGTTTTAGCTAACCTCCATAGAGGTGCAGGTACTGTACATATATTAATGACACCATCCCACATTCTGTAGAAAGTTATATGGAATTCTGCAATTTTTAATGCTCACTTTTGCTGATTCAGTGTAAAAGGTTACAGTTGATACTGTATATAAAGAGATTATAAGTCCTCTACTGAAGAACTTAGAACTATTAGCTAATACCCTGCATGTGTGCATTTTGGCTTGAAAACTCTAAATATAAAAATAGTGCCAAAAATTCATCTTGATCTTGTTCTGTGCTAATTAAAAACAAATATTGTTCTATTTATGGAATAAACTGACATACATACTATGGTTTATAAATGATGTAAACTGCCATGAAAGCCCAGTAGCGACAAATAGTTAATACTGTACGTACAAAATTTTAAATTTCAATAAGGATCCATCTTCAATTGTAATTTCACACATTCCCATAATATTTACAGTAGATGAAATGTAAAACATCATAACTAAATAGGAGAAGTAATTAGCGAAAAATCATCAATACAGTACTGTGGTATATTAAAAGTCAGGTAATAATGCAGATGGAGGGGGATCGAGCCATTAATTGTAGAATATCATAAGTCTATGTTATTGGCCTAATTGTACTAGCACATGGGTTGCAGCCAATTTGGATCATTACAAACATAAACGTTCCTGTACAGAACAGTAAAATTCTTTTATTACCCGGTACCACAAATGAAACATGTAGAATTACCTATGTTGTTAAAAACACCTAATGCTCTAAAACTGAGGGAAGGCCCTTAGCTTCTCTCTGTATGGAGGCACTGTCAGAAGACCCAAGTCTGCCCTGAAAGAGGAGATAGAAGTGTGGTGATCCTGCAAATAAAGCTTTAAGACTGAACCTGGATGAGTGGACTGCTCACTGCTGTTGTGACCTAATGAACTGTAACCCCTAAGCCTTAGAGGTGAAGGTTTTCTGGGTTTCTAACCTGTAGACCCTGGTGGGACAATACAGGAGTCACTTGTGAAGGTCATCATCATCACCATTTAATGGCCATTTTCCACGCTTGTGTGTGTTAACGTTGATTGGCTGTCCATGCTGCGTGATCTCTTGCAGCCTCTCTTTGTAAAGGTTTTAAGGCCATAAATGATGAAATTATCTACCCATACTACTTTCTGTAGTTATTCTATACGTTAATTTCAATTCTAATAAAATATTAGTGATTAAAAGAAATTCATAAGGTAAATGAAACCTTCATTTAAAAAAACTGTTTTATTGGAAACCATAGGTTCCCCAATAGGCCACTAAAGCAAATACAATAAAAAAAAATCATGAACATTTGTTTCTTGCAGACACCTAAATCCTTTTCCAGTAACTGATGTGGTTGGCACAAAGAGTGCCATCCTCAAGCCTTGCATCCTCTGCAGCAAACACCCAGAATTCTCTCTCAACTTGTAATAAAGGGATTGATTATGGGTAATTTAATATTTTAGATACAAAATTGAGATAGCTAGGTAACTAACATGATAAAAAATATCTACAGTAGAAAAAATAAAATAATTTTTTTGAAAAAGACCAACTTTTATATAGAGACCCATATTCTCTAATAGTTTCAGCTTCCAATATGTTCTTTGTCATGTCTAAGCCAGACTGGAAATCAAGTCTTGAATATTAATGGATTTCAGTGTATAATAAATATACACTGTACATCCCTTTCAAATTGTACACATTATTTCTGCAGAATTTAAAGTACAGTATCATTTTTCTGACTTCAAATTTAGTGATGTAAAAAACTCTCTACTATCCGTGGTATAGCCGAGGTTTGACCTCCAGTGGATGATAAAATTTGACAATAGTGAACCTGGTTCCATTTAGCAGTCAACTAGAAAAGGTTAATTTAATTATATAGCTTTATTACCCTAAGGGAGTAAGATGAGAGCTCCATGTCACATCTGGTGTACTACACACCAACTAACTGTTTTTATATAAAAGAAATCCCATTACAGTATTGTTAGAAATAATTTAATATCTCAAATCTTTGTATTAATGCATTAAAACCAATGCATAAATTCTACATAAAATGAATACAGTACTGTATGTACATACATTTTCGTATAATATTTATGAAGTAGAATATTTCATTTACTTTGAACGTACAGGCGATGGAAGAGAAATATTTATTCTGTGATGTACCGATACGTAAGTTATCCACACCATAAATTTTTCCACAATGCATGACATGACCACACTTCACAAAGAGGTACAGAATACAATACTTTACTTGTCAGTACTATGCAGTGTATTACAATATTTCATCAGTCATTGCTACTTTGGTTTAAAATGAAAATTTAAGCTATAAATCTTGAAATAAATGTACAATTTACATCCCTAAGTTCAATCATAAAGCATACAATTATTATTCAAAATGTGTTAATTTAGATTTTTTTTACCATATTAAATAATTGATCACCATCTTTATAATTGAAAGGACTTGGTTTTACAGTATTAATCATTCAGTACTAATTTTGTATACCATAACTGGCCCAAATTCACAATTACTAAATAAATCACTCACTCTCTCTTCACCAATAACTTCACTTGATTTAATACCTTTCGTAAATATCTACTGGCCAACACTTGGTTGTTATTCACTACAAAGGATTCTCAGCTTGTGTGTGAAAGTTAACTTTGATGGATTGGTCGAGATCACAATCCCATTATATCTCGGACATTTGATGCATAAATACTTTGGATAATCTAATTTGAGATGTGGATGGCTGATAAACTGTGAATAGTGGTTGACTAAGAACCACAGACAGTCGGTACCAATGTCAGATAATCTGTGGATAGTAGAGTGTGTACACTATTGTTTTTGGATACAACTGCTGCTTGTATGATTTCCACATTTGAACTAAGCATAAGATATAAAGTTTCTTAATGATTGGAATAGTAATTCTTATTTCAGATGGTGATACGTAAAGATATTTGATTCAAACAAGGAGAAACATCATCTGCAGGCTTTAATCCTTGAAAGAGGAAGATGTACAATAACTGGAGAAAAGAATTACTGGTAAGAAAATTTCATAGAATCTGTAACCAACCTTGACTGTATTTTAGTGATGAATGCCAAGCTAACCCAGTCTGGCCTCGACTCAAAAAAGTATTCCGAGATGATCATATTCTGTGGTCTCTTCAGTTCTTCGATAGAGGGATTATGAATAAGTCAATTTTACTAGTAGTCTCAAGATGTTCACCTCATTAATAAAATTGGCTGATTATGAGGAAATTTTCATTTTACTATGTACGAGGATCCAAAATGTGTCGAACATAATTGATTGGTACCGGGTATTTAATGAAAATATTATGCAAGAAAGGAAGTGATGAAAGTGGAAGGAGTATACTGTAGATGAATTAAATGCAAAGTAAAGAAAATGACAAAAGAAAGTGAAAGCAGTGTCAATGAAAGCTAGAGAAAGAGAACTGTTCTGATGGGACCTGACTAGTACAAATGGAAATAGCAGTAAAATAGAGGTAGGAAAAATATTTTGGACAAATTCTGAATATAACAGATGAGAGACAAATAGAACTAGTATCATATTTAGGACATGGAGCAATGAAAATCCTTGAAGTAAAAGACGTAAGAAAAGTAAGGATTAGACGCACTCACTGTGAAAATGTAAAGGGTGTGAGGAGGAAAGCTTGAAGGAATGGATGACAAGGGAAGAGTACTGTCAAGAATGTGTGTAATTTTGTATAAAGGGGAAGATGATAAGAATGGGGGCAAAAGTTACAAGGGAATTAGTCAGTCAAGTATGCCAGGGAAAGTATTCAGTACATAAGATATTACTGAGAAAATAATAGCAGAATATTTTTTGAGGGAAAGAGAAGAGGATATGCAGATCAAGCAGTTGCATGACAGAACATGATTGAATAGTTATTGAAAAAAGATTCGATTTGTGGTATTCATGGACCAAGAAAAAACATTTAAAAATTATTGATAGAAAAGCAATGAAAGATGTATTAAAATCGTATGAGATAAATGGAAAACTGTTTAATGTCACTCTTAGGAAAATGAAATTTGTTGGAGTATGTCAAGCAAAGGGAAATTGGTTTCTACTGTAAGGGGTGTTAGCCCGGGACACATGTGAGAAGGGTGTTATCCAGTGTGACCCGACCAAACACCACAGGTTTCCCGGTCCCCTCCTGTACTAACACTGGATAAACCGCCCAAACGGCTAGTAAGCTGATAAGTGGCGAATATGATAAAAAAAAAAAAGTCTTATATTGAGTGTATTATACAGTACTCCTATGGTTCTTAAAATATTTTCATGAATGGGTTAGTATGAGAAGCAAAAATTTTGGAACAAAGAGCAAGTTTGATAACAAGGAATACAGGTTGCACATGGGAGGTGAATCATAAACTATTTGCAAGTGATATAGCCCTTGTTAGAGAATTAGAAGAAAATTCTATTTATACGAGTTAATAAGTTTGAAAATTTAAGTACAAAGAGAAAGTTGATTGAATGTAAACAATAGTTATAAGAATAGATAAAGGAGGAAGACAGGCATTAGTATACATCAGAATACACATATACTGTACTGTATATCTGAGTGGATGTGTCTACTATTGGAAAATGGAAGAAGTATTGAATCACAAAGCAACGCAGGGAAAGAAAGTAATATACGAGTATGCCTTAAGAGAAGCGTATCAAAGGAAGCAAAGCTGGGGATGTATCGAGGAACTGTTAACGTAACCCCACTATATGGGAATGAAGCATGGACTCTGGATGTGAGAGGAAAAGGCAAATTAAAAGTGACAAAAATGACATGTTTGAGAGCAATTTGTAAAGTGAATAGAATGTAAAGAATAAGAAGGTAAGAGAAGGAGAGAAAAGCAAAGGAGATAGAAGGATGTGGTAAAAGAAGTATTATAAGTGAGGGGACTGGCCATCCAGAAAGCAGCAGATGTGAATGAAAGGAGAGCGTGATGATATGTTATCTATGGGGATGCCACGGATTGAATTGGCAAGGGCAAGTTAAAGTAATCTACTTTTGTTCTTGGTTCTGGTCACCCTGTAGCAGTGTGAAAAGGTAAGGAAAAAGGAATCATGTCTGGGTCAACTTGTGTACAACTCCTGTGAGCTAACCTGAGGAATGCATTGTATTGTGCTCATCTCACAAGACCTAAATATGTTTTCGTGACAGCTGATGTTACAGTACTGTGTTGAGCTTGTGCCATCGGAAATAAGTATATCGTGTTTTAATCATAAAACTTATGCCTCGTAAACAGTCAATTCATGCTTTATGTAACACAGTCATGCAAAACACAATAATCTGGATGTGATTTTTATTAAATGGAGTGATAAATAATTTATATAAAAATATTAACCTGCATTGGTCTAAACTATTACAATATATGTATTACAAAAAGAATCTACAAAATTTGCATGGTGCCTTTACAGTGCAAATATTTGAAACTTTGTGTCTTTCTCAGAATATAAAATGTCCAACTAAACAAAACACAGGTGCTACACCACTGGCAACGCCTGATGTTTAGTTATAATTAATAAAGCCCAAGAGGATGTGTTAAACACAGGAAATGAGCAGTCATAAATCATCAACTTCCAGTTTCAAACTGCTAAAAGTGCCACACTTCATACTCAAAACAAATTTAAGAATGTTTAGCCATTACCCTCGATGAAAAAACACTCAAAGAGTCACTGAACTAGAGCACAGACATAGAATGGATGTCCAACTTAGTAACCAAGACTTATTGTGACAAGGGTGTAAAATAGTGACCGACTGAGTAGGACACTAAAATGTCCCACGTCATCTTGTTTGCAAAATCAGTGATTTGAAAACTGATGTAAAATACTATAAATACAGAAATAAAAATAAATACTTTGGAGTGTTATTTAAGTAAAATCCAATAAAAACATTCAATTCGCAAACTTAAATATTTTTTAAATATACAAACTGTACTGCATTGTCATTAAATCATCTGCATTTCTGCAGACAACAGTCAAACTCAGATAATAGCCTTTCTCATTCAAATGTTAGATATCAATACTGTACCAAATTTCATATAACAATTTGAGTCAAAATATCATCAGAATCACGAGTTATTTAATGTCTTTCAATAACTTAAGTGCATAACAAACACCCTTTTTGTCAAAACCTAGTTCATTACAATTTAAATATCTTTTATTTCAAGGATGACATGTGCAATATATTAAACTCTCTTACCCAAGACAATCAAAAGTCTAGCCAACCTGCTCAGAAGACAATCCCAAACAGATAATGACGTAGAAAAGCACTTAGAATGAAAATATACTGTACTACTCAATCTCCTACTTATTTATTCACACTTATCCCAATGTACTTAAAAAACTAAAGCAGGGAATGAATATTAATTATTGAAGTTTGCCAATATTGACTAGCCTGCCAAAGCCTTTCATACTTTAAACCTTCTAACCACCTTCAATTGAAACTTTCTGTATTTAAGAATATAGATTTTTTTTTGCACAGAAGAAAAAATAAAGTAAAATAAAAAATATATTAATAAACATCTCTAATCCCTTTACATGTCTCTTAACACAATAAATTACAGCACAGTTTTATATGAAATTCCAGTAAGTATCCTGGGTAAATAAAATTAAGTGTAACTAAAATGAGGGAATTTTCCATATACAGTATTGCTGAAAGGAACTTGGGCATGAGGGCTATACCCAACATGAGTGTAGAAAAGAGAGATCTTACTTGTCAATACCCAACACATTATCAACAATGATACATGAAGACACTTCTGTATGCAACTTTTGTTTTTCTCAAATGTACTTAATATAAGAACATGCTATAACAAAATAAAAGTGCTTTCATGCACATAAAACTTGGTCGATAACTGTGAGTGGTAGCAAGTGGTCATGGTCCACCCACAACAGCCATGTGGTTATGGTCAACGTAAAACAGCAAAGTGGTAGTGGTCAACCCGAGACAGCTAATTAGGGATGATGGTCAACCCAAGACTGTCAAGAGGTGATGGTCAACCCAAGACTGTCAAGAGGTGATGGTCAACCCAAGACTGTCAAGAGGTGATGGTCAACCCAAGACTGTCAAGAGGTGATGGTCAACCCAAGACTGTCAAGAGGTGATGGTCAACCCAAGACTGTCAAGAGGTGATGGTCAACCCAAGACTGTCAAGAGGTGATGGTCAACCCAAGACTGTCAAGAGGTGATGGTCAACCCAAGACTGTCAAGTGGTAATAATCAACCCAAGGCTGTTCAGTGGCGATGGTCAACCTAACTTCGCCAAGTTGGTGATGGTCTACCCAAAATTGACAAACAATGATGCTTAACTCACGACAGTAAAGTGATGGTGGCAAAAAATGCCAACCAATTAACCCCAATAAACCAGTTTATAATGGGAAGCACCCACAAGCATGTCAACTTGGTGAAAAACATTCAACAACTGGGAGATGTCAACAAATTTATGGAAGCCATGTTAAAGCAATTAATCCCCGGGGAAAGTGATCCTTATAAAAAAAGGACTAAATAATTCTTCCAGTCCTGCTTCAGCAAAGATGTTTGGATACTGTCTTCTCTGTGGTAATTATGAGGATAACTTTACACCAAACAGTCCTCTTCAATAACTTTACACTTTCAAGTCAGAGAGAGAGAGAGAGAGAGAAGGAGAGAGAGTAGAAAGAAGAGGAGAGAGACTGGATACATCTGTCTTTCTATCTCTGTTGGATACATTTGCCCTTCTATCCCTTGGATACATTTGCCCTTATATCTCAGGACGGCACACTCTGACTCCAGACAATACATTCCCAGGTTCAAGAAGATGGAGAGTTGTGCTAACTCACAGACATTTGATGAGTAAGAGTAAGGATCCTTTCACTACCCCTCAGTTACAAACGATTGAAATTTAACAATGACATTAATGGAAAGAACAGGTAGACACGTCCTTAACAAAACTTCTAAAAAAAAAATGGCAATTAGTATTTAATTAAACCATAACTTGGTCCTCAATGCTCTACCCTGTAAATTAACAAAACAACCATTCAAAAATTCATATACCATCCAGAATGATTCACTCTCAGTGGATTATAACTCAACCTCAGAACAAAGTGCATGTGTTCACAACTTTCAACTCCTTGACAAGAGCAAGCTTCATGTGGGTTTCCTTGCATGTTACACATAAATATTTTGTTTTGAACCATAGTCAATGAATATTAATACACATACGGTACTCAATAAATGAAAAAAACACTTAACTGATTATTTTATTATAAATAAAAATTATTAAATAAAGAAAAAATGTCTTACATAAACTCACTGAAATTCAAAACCAATATTGTATTTATTTTACAAAATGTCAAATTGTAAATGATGGCCCACAAGTTTCAAGATAATTTGCACAATAAGCTGTCTCTGCACTTTATAGTTGTGTTCAACAATTTACAAATGATGCGCATACATCCTTTACAAATAGAATTTAAATATATTAATAAATTCTTCCATAAAATTTTTTCAATAAAGTTCACTAAAAAAAAAAAGAAAAAAAAATCCAAAAAGGATTTTTGCTTATGTAGCAATCCCAGCATGAAGCATGCATCATACAGACAACTTTGGCAACACTCATTCCTTGGGGCAAAGACCTGACATCAGTCTTAGGGATTCATAAATAAGGTTTGAAGACCAACAACCAAGAACACAAAACTATTCTTGATAAAGCAGCCCCACCACAAGATAACCAAACTGCAAAATTCGAGCATATGTCTTTGGCAACTTTGCTGTCCCTGGAAGACCCATGTTGTGTGGGAATACCCGGGTGTCTGACTACTCTTGAATGAAGGTATTTAATTTGAAGAAGTAGAATGTTCTTAGCTGCTGGTCTCTGTTAATTTGTGTACAATAGACAAACCATATATCTGTGGTATTTTACAAGAACAATACATCAACACAAAAAGGCCTCAATTCTTAAAAACTGTACAATATCTACAGAGGCTGTGTATCAAAGTTTTCATTCATTTTTCTTATTAACATTTTAACGATGTGTATCAGATAAAAATATTTGAAGATTTTTCCTATCCAAGAAATATTTATACAGTTCATGCACAAAATAGGGTTGATACTATATATTTTGGGAATAAAAGAAAGGTTTGGTTGTACCTTCACTGGTGTATAAGCCACTATATACGCAAGTCCACTTAGATTGGGCTGAAGTGGTGGAGGGCTGGTGGCTGGCTGCAAGTTACAGTGGCAACAGCACTTCAGTATGAATGTCTTATATCTCCGACCCCACTGCTGCTGCACCTCGTTTCTGTCACGGGTGCTGCCATAGGCGTACTCAAGTTGTGTACAACAGTCTGAGTATCACTTGGGCTAATTACACACAGTGAGGCTCCAGCCCTATCACAGTCCCGGTGGAGCGACCATGCCACAGGCATGAAAATAATTAAGACACTTGCAATGCTGCATGAGAGAATCACAGATCTTCTGCCTTCTGGTGCTACTACCACTTTAGTTGCACTGGAGCTACGGATTGTGTCTTCCAGGCTCCACCGCTCCCACAATGGCAGTGTTAACACGCCTCACTAGGCTAGTGGTGGTGCAGGTGAAGCAGCGGTCGTGGTAGGCACGGCGGGCAGGCAGGGCAAAGGAGAGGCAGTTTCACCTGGCACTCACCCACGCTGGCTACTTGAGGTAAGACCGATAGAGGAGTGTTGACTTGTTAAGCTCCTTCTCTTGCTCCATCAGAAACATGAGATCTCGCATATTAACCCGCTTGATGCGTGGTCGGAGAGGCATCTACCAAAAAAATAACAATAATAAAAAATATACCTACAGTATTATTACTATTCCTGAAAATATAGTGTAAACTCCCTAACACTGTACAGTATTACAAAATTTCATTAAGTGAGAGAGGAGAGGACAGGAAAGAAAAAGAGAGAAAAAGAAAGTAGAGGCAGAAGAAAAGAAAGGGAAGAAAGACAAAAGAGTGAGAGAGAATCTTTATTGTTCATTATATAATAGAAACATACTGGAAGAAAACCTCAGAAACTTACCGACTTTTGGGTGAATGTTCCACTAAAAGTTGCACCCTAGAAAAGAGAATAAAAAAAAACAAATAGAACCAAATATTAGAAAACATTAACGATAACATTTAAGAGGTATAAATGCCAATGTAAAATAGACACTGTGTACATGTGCATGAGCGCAGGTTGGTGTGCTTGAGTACCTGTGCACCCCTGTAAAAGAAGGTATTGATTTTTCAAGATACCAAACTCTTAGTAGAGGGGGAAGGAGGCCAATAAATGATGACAATAATAATAAAATTAAACACACTCTTAACTCATGCCTTAAGCTTGGTTGACAATACGAGAGAACATGTTGTACAGCTACAATATTAAATAAACCAATATAAACAGTTTTGTGCATAATAGAAACCTTGTTATTATTCTCTCTCTAATCATACTTTCTCTACTGCAGGAATGCATTAAGTACATAAACATGCTTGAACAATAAACCCTAGATTATCAAGACTAACAGGGGGAAAGTTGGTCTGAAAGATGCGAATTTCCTGAATTTCCCAAAGAAAGAAATAAAACCAATTCCACGGATGTTTATTTCAGTACAGTATATAGTCTATGAATGGTCATTTAACATACAATTTGATCACACCAATACCTCATAGCACCTATGTTCCATTAAACGCAAGAATTTATATTACAGTAAAGCCTTCGATAACAACGGTTCGACCAACAACTTTTCATATTTAAGGCCCTAGTTAATTTAGGACCCAGTTCAATTTACGACCTTATTTCATTCGTATTTACGACCAAAATATAATAAAAAATAAATAAAATTAACTTTTCATATAAATAATAACTAAATCCTGTTATGTTTTATAAAACAAAAATTTGCTGGAAAAAAAATGAAGAGCGCCTTGCGCAAAGAAGCTGCCTTGCTAACGAGTGGTAAACAACACTCTGAGCTTGGCGGGCCTTTTGTTTTCACGCATCTGGAACAGGAACTGGAGAAAAACTTTCCCAGGTTTCTTACAGCATTTTTCATCTCCATTCAACATGAGCAAGAGAGCAAGTGATGGTAGTGTTGTTTGAAAAGCTTATAGAAAGTGTATAAGCTTAGCCGAGAAACTAGATGTGTTAAAACGATATGAAAAGGTGAGAGGTCTGTGGATATTATATGGAGCAAGCAATGAACATATTTTCTGAAGTGGATCCATTAACAGAACAAAGAATTAAAATTTAAATAAATGCAAATGACCTCTACATAAAGATGTATAATAAGAAAAAAAAGCAGCTGTGCAAGGTTCTTTCGGCAGCTTCATTGTTCGAAGGCGTAAACCATCAACTTCAGTTACACCATCAAACTCAGCATCATAAGCAGCTTCACCAACAACTTCAGGTTCAATAACAGTTTCAGCAACAGCTTTATGGGAAGCTACAGCTTCAGCCAAAGTTGAACCTGATGACTTCGTCATCCGAGTAAAAACTCGCACAATATTCAATAATAATAATAATAACAATAAACGGTTTATTAATAGAGTTGCAGCCGGTGGCTGAAATTATACAGACTTACATTTGTAAGTCATTGGCTGTCCTTATGTTTTAGACTTTACCACCATTAGTGAGTAGAATTTTTGTTTTACATTCGTAAATATTATTTAAAACATATATGAACACTAAATAAGTGTTGCTTTCATATTCATATGTAGAGAAATGACGATATGTTTTCACATGTAAGCACTTACTGTTCATACGTTGGCGTTCCCAATCGTCTAGCTTTATTTCTTTACCATAAGTGGTTAGCTACTTCTAGTGTTCCATTTATTAACATTAAATAACATTACTTAAAACATACATACAGGTATTCCATTTTTTTTTAAATTAAGTTCACTACAGCTACAACCAGGGTCTTATTTTCTTCAATTTCTTATGTAGAACCATCGTCACTCACGAAAACAATGCCGCCTTGTGTCCTCGTGTGTGTTTTAATATTCTATGTATTATTAATGAATTGCATTGATCATTTCACATATATAAACATTAATTCAATCAAATACATATTCAGTAATAAACAATGTCAAATCTTTTGTACATATTCTTAAGATGAATGACTATGTTTCCTTGAGTGCGCACGTATACATTGGCGTTCCACTATCAGTCTCACTTTTTTTCTTTAATATCAGCGGTTACTTCTACTGTACATTAAATAACATTAATTAAAACATACATATTTTTTACATTAATTTTACTACACCAACAACCAGGATCTTATTTTCTTCAGTTTCATGTGGATAACTGACATTATGGGTGTAAACACTGACAACAATGCCGTCTCTTATCCTCTTGTGTGTTTTAATATTCTACGTATTATTAATGAATTGTATTGTTCATTTCACATACAATATATAAAGATTAATTCAATAAAATACATATTCAGTAATAAACAATAATGAAACTTTTGTACATATTCTTCAAAAGATAAATGACGTGGTATCCTTAAATGCACACATATATGTTGGTGTTCCCAATCCATCTTTTTTTTTTTTTTTTTTTTTGCCATTTGTGGTTAGCTATTTCTATTGTTCCATTTATTAACATTAAATAACGTTACTTAAGACATATAGTATATTCATATTTTTACATTAATTTTACTACAGCTACAACCAGGGTCTTATTTTCTTTATTTTCTCGTGTAGAACTATCGTCCCGGACTCCCGGCTGTAAACACAAACGAAAACAATGGCGCCCCATCTCCTCTTGTGTGACCATATTATTATTCATTTATATTGTATAAGGTGCATTCAGAAACATTATTTAAAGAGTACAGTTTGCAATTTTCATTAATTGTATTGTTTTTTGGGGGAAGAGGGTAAAAAGCCACACAAAATATGTGAAAAGGTCACACTGGGGAACGCATCTCATTATTATTGCTTTATTTTATTGGTAATTAATGATTCGCGATACGATGATTCACCTTACACCGCAATATTGGAGGACACATTACCGTTGTTATTCGAGGCTTTACTGTACTTCATGTTTACACTCAACACAAACACGTGACCCTATACAATACATAAAGCTGCACACGCTGGGAGAAACTGGGCAATCCATAATTTGACCACTGGCAGCCATGTGTATATCTTACTCCTGAATTTATATTATCGACTAATTTGACCTACACTTACCGCCACTCCTCATACAGTCTGATTTCAGTGTAGTACTGTACAGAAAATGACAAACCCTGGATGATCCCAAGGACTGTAACACCAAAGAATTGTTTAAATAATGCTAAAGGGAAATAAGGGGTTACGGTCCAGGTGCCAAAATAGTGAGTTAAATCGCCAATATAATTGTTTTCACTTGATATGTTATGTAAATCTGCAGAACATTGGGCGAGCAGCGCTCTGATTTCACTCCAATCTAATTTTTTTGTCATATTTATCTGACCTCTTATTCTCAAACCCAAATTACCTTTTTTTCAAGCTTATTCATTCCTCTTATATACAGTCCTTACTTCCTACTACCACATATTATATTGCCAGCTCAACAATTTCCTTATAAATTCCTATTTTTATAAATCTGGACGATGTCCCAACCCCCAAATTTCTCAATACATCTATTATTGTGCAGTACATTTTCTCCACTTTTAATAAAAAATTATATTCATATGAAAAACTGAACAGAAGTAAAGCATTAAGATACTATTTTCAGTAGATCATAAGTAAAACATAATGCTGCCAGCGACACATAATGTAAATACTGTAGTGAAACCATGTTATACTGACCTCTTATAGAGCTGCTGTCTCATTGTTCTCCATTTTTCAGGAATAAAACTATTGTAAAGCACTAAGGAGTAGGCCAGTACTCTTTTGCTTTACAGTACATAAACTATTATTTACAAAAGTATAAGTGTTCCCGGTACTGTATAGTGTATTGTATGTTAGTCAAATTGTGTAATAAGTCACTTAGTTAATAGCCTAAAATTTTCAGTCATTTCTCATTTCACAGCTTGACTGTAACATACTGTATACTGGGTACACACAGGGTATAGTTTTGTAAGCTGATTAACATTAGGGTACAGGATGATCATATTAGGTTCTCTTGACAGATCTGCAGGATTTCACAGTAATATGATTTTAATACAGAAATATAGGTATTGTTACTAATATTACAGTTTTATTACTAAATAAGCTGTGTTTGGTCTGTTACAAGAGGTACATCAGCAGTGTGGTTGGTAGTGCTACAGTAGACTGTTCATATTCAAAAGAACCGTGTACACTATTCGGCACACCTTCAGTCCCAACTGTGCATGAGTCTACTGTATAATTTTATTCAGGTATCCACAACAGACAGTTTTGAATCTTTGTACAGTATATTTGTCTGTCATGTATATACAGAAACAGTTTGTATTATGGATGTAAAAATTAAGGAACAACTCTTGCAGTCTAAAGTGGCCTGTCTATGCTCCTCATACACTGTATTAATATGTAAAATTAAAATAAATACGTAAACAAATAAATAAACACATAAATAATGAATAAAATAAAAATAAACAAACAAATAAGAAATTAAACAAGAAAAAAGCAAATCAGAATTAAAGTATATAAAAAAATATGATCAAGGTAATGCAATATATATCCTGATTTATTAACAGAAAAAAAAATTTACTTATTAATAAAAGTATGTAAGAACTCAGTTTTGTAGTGTAAGCACAACTAGTGATTCATTGACATGGTAGCAGAACAACCATGCTGAAATCTTCCCAATAATATCTTAACCAGTTTTGTCAGGTATCAGAGTCAAGGGTGTAAAGGCAGGTGGGTGGAGATGTGAGTCTGTAGGAAATTCTGGAAAAAAGGATTGCCACTTACATCATCAACCATCGACAGATCAAGTTTAGGCTTCTTCTTGGGTCCTTGCAATGCATTCAGAGCGGTACGATTGGCATCTCTCTGTCGCATCTCCTCCATTTCAACACGCTGCATCTGTAATAAAAACAAGTTTGGGTATATCATTATACTGTATTTAAAAAATAAATAAAATAAAAAAAACCTTAGCATCCATCCTGCATGTTACTTACCAGTGCCCCTATAATTGCTGTCCACGTAATGTTGACAAAGAAATATTGCCAAAGAATTTCAATTTCTTATTACAATGAATAATATTACATGCATTAGTTTATTAAATTTGACATGCATAAGACTACTATGATGCTAAACATTAGTACATAAATAAAATACATGTCACTTACCAGTGCCCTGAGTTGCTGTCTATAAATTTCCATAAAAGGAAAATGGCTCCAAAATTGAAATTTTTTTAGAGGGATAAAACAATGTGACATGCAGTACTAAATCTGACATGCAGCATTAGACTGTTATGGTATCAAACACAAGTATGAAATGTAAATGAGCTATGTATTCTACTTCATACACTGATACTGCTTACAAATATTCATACAGACAGAAGGACAGGGGACAAACTGGAGGTTCCAAGTCTCACAAGGTGGAAAATAATTTGATAAATGGAAAGCTTTAGATCTAAATACTCCCTGAACTCTCCCCTAAAAATTTCTGCCAATATTCACTCTTGAATTGTTATCAATTCTCTTTTCCCTAATCTTTATTTCCCAAAGTTCTGTATAAATTATTACAAAAAGTTGTGAGATCTATGCTCTCTATGCTATTAGTTTCCATCAGCATCTTTGAGTGATTAAACTTATCACCTTTCAGTGAATTATTTAGCCATTTTGTTGAGCTTATTCTAGCCATTAAATTAGCTTTTGACCACCTGAAAGAATGAATGTAAATTGTGAAGAGGATCCAGAACAGAATTAAAGTATTCAAAATACAGGAAGGGTGTGCTGAACTGGCATGTTGTCAGGGTGACAAATAAAAAATTACAGATTAATACTGAACAACACAACGTACTTGTGATATTGAATTCTATCCACTGAAGGAAAAATAAATAATTTCAAAATAATTTCACAGCTAAGGTGTGTATATTTTTCTCTATTGTACTTTGTACACACAAAGAAACATTACTAACTTCATTTGATATTTCAATTAATTAACAGATCATTACAAATATAAAATAAAATACTTCTTACCTCCTTTGCTTTTGCTTTTAATTTAGCTTGTTCAGGGTCTTCCGATTTACTTCTAGATTTCGCCGCTCGCATCAGCATATCTCTCTCTCGTTCATCCTTACGTTTCTTCTCCATCTTATCTAATTCTTCTAGGAAACGAAGCTGACCTTTCACATCTTGTCGAACCTCATAGCGGCTATCACTCTGCTGATATGTACAGTATGTGGAAATTAGATTCATTCTTAGACAGTATCATATATTAATTTTCTTTGGGAATCTTTATTACCTGACTCATATTACTGTACAGGCAAACAATGTAAATAAATAATGACTTGCATGAATCTTCTTTGGGGACATACACTTCTTGTTTGGGTTATAGAAATGTACAAAAATAATTTATGGGTATGGTGATTACCATCATGGGAGCAGCCAGTGCACTAATAAAAATAATTTCCCAGAATTCCCAGATGAATTTTCGTAACCTGAACGTTTATAACGTGGGGGGATGCCTGTATATTGAGTTAATAGCTTTTATAAGAAAGAAATTTCAAGATATAACTTCTGTATATCTGTTTCAACACAACTGGTTGCTACACACAGTCTATCTGAGAACACCCGATGTGTGTCCAGGCCACCTCAAAACCCTTTCATTAGTTCAATTCTTCCCACCTTTTTCACATTTTAATAATGTATCTAATCAAAATCTATTACTCTTATAACTATAAATTTTATTTCCCGCTAATTGTTTTATTCCGACCAAACCAAACATCACTGAATATCAGCTAACTTTACAATTACAGCTTCTGATAAATCTATCACAAGAGGATTTTTTTTTATTAAGCTATAATTGTTGAACTCACCTTAATAATATCTAATCTATGATCTGAGATGACTGCTAACTTTTCGACAATAGTTTTAAGGCGCTCCTGTGTTGCATGTGATACGAGGGCGACTACATCTTTTGGCGCATCGTCCAAACCATATTTTGAACCTGCAAAGTTAAATTTTGTTTTCATTAAAAACAGAAAAACATTCCAATTATCTGATCAATACCAGAAACATGGACTCGGGAAAAGGCGTGTGGAGCTAAGGACCAGACCTTCCTGTATGCGTTTATAAAAATAAAAAATTGGAAGTATTTGCAATATCTGTGGGGATGTAGTAAAATGACAGGAAAGGAGACTGAACCTATGATATATGTGTGTGTGTGTGTGTGTGTGTGTGTGTGTGTGTGTGTGTGTGTGTGTGTGTGTGTGTGTGTGTGTGTGTGCGTGCGTGTGTGCGTCAGATAAGTGAGCGGAGTAGATTAACCCAGGTATCGAGAAGCGTACAAGGGGATGAATATATGTGGTGTTGGTGTTCAGTGATATGTTGAGTAGCTTGATGGCATACAAGAGGGTCAGTCCCACAATATTATAAAACAGACTAAAATTACATTATGAAAGATGAATTAATGCAAATGTGTATGTTCCCTCCTTCTAACACTGGATTTTGCATTCTTTATATCTTATAGGGTATTAAAGGTAACATATATGAATACAACCCCTAAACACCCTCTCTATACCGGAGGAACACAATGGTAGTTTATACTATCCACACAAACAAGGCTGGAAAATTAAAGAAATAATGCTATAAATTATACTTGTTACAAATCACTGAATTCCATGAACTTATGGTTGGTATGAAGCTCTGTGAGGATTCAGAGTCACCATGTTAATATTATCAACTCTTGGTTCGTTAGCTCTACCTTTCAATACACTTCACACCTCCACCAAATAAGTCACCCGCCACAACTGACAACACACTGTAGCTCTTTTCCCAATATATGTTAACACTACCAGGGGTTTCCTTACATATTTGTTTTATTCTCTCAGTTAGTGGAGTGTTTAAGAGGAAATTCTCGTCTTTACACGAGCGTATTTGTGTGCCGACAAACCCCGTGGAGTCGAGGATTCTTTGGGATTCCTCCCCTAAATTAACTCCACCCATCGCAGCCACATCATTGATGTCGTCATCTGCGGCCCCGCTAGAAGAATAGGAACTGCTGCAATAAAAAAAATTATACATTAGTGTTATTATATATATACTGCATACAGTATATATATACTGAAGCACCAGAAAAAAATGAACAAGTTATGGACAGAAAATATTACAGGTACAGTAACTTTACAAAATGAGAATCTATAATTTTTAAACACATACATCCAGATACATTATAATATTAAGGAAGAGGGAATGAATGAACTACTGACAGAAATAATAGGGAATATAAATCAAACAGCATCAAGCAAAGGTTCCACAACAAAAGACATAACAAACCTGTATGTGTATAGTTTATCTTTAGTCTTGTCTTTATCTTTGGTAGGGAGTGCCTTATTTACTGTTATGGTTTTGGTAGCAGTAGGTACTGAGTTTGTGGTGGCATTTAGGGTGTTGCTGGTGGCATTAGCATTTGGAGTGTTTTGACGAACTGTCGTCACCACCGTCTTGCCACCTTGGACTCGTACCTGCTGCACTTGTTGCTGTAAGGATATAGCAATTATCTTTTAATGGATGCTCTAGAAACAGTTACCCTTGCTCTCCTCTGATTACCATCAACCTACAGTGTATAGTATCCAATCCTTTACCTCCATCAAATGAAAGAAAATACAAAAAATCTAGGTAAGAGGAGTGCAAGAACATCATGTGTACTCTTACAAACAAATGCCATATCAAAATACTTAAATCAAAATTTCCTCTATTTGACTAACTTAATGCAAGAGTAATACAAATTATACAATACTATTCAAAAAAATCTTCTCAAAGACCATATTTGTTATTGTATCATGACCTAGAAATTGTTAATAACTTTATCAACTACACCCTTCACTATGACTTCGTTCTTGTTTTTTTCCCCAGTTTACACTCTACCCACTCTTTAGAACTCCACACCATCCCTTGACCAAACTTTCCCAACCAAGTTCTCATATTCCACTGCATAATCCCCCAAGTAAGATGTATAAGATATGGACTTACAGTGACTACTCTTGCAGGTGCTTGAGTGGCATTTACAGGCCGTTGTACAACAGTGGTGGAGGAAACAGTTGAAGGGGGTACCATACGGACTGTCCCAGAAGTGGTGGGGGCAACAGGACGAGCAACAGTCATCTAAAAGATCATATCATCATTAATCTTATGCTTATTAATTACTGTATCATTATTAATTACACCTTCCTCCATCTTTCTCAATAGTGGTGTCAAATAGCTGGAATAAAGAGCAACTAAACACTGTCTAAGTCTTCTTTGCTCTTTTTTGGGGTACAGTAAGTGAATAAAAGGTGTATAAGCTACTTGACACTCTACAGTAAGTGAATAAAAGGTGTATAAGATACTTGACACTCTAAAGTCCTCTCATGCAAATGACAAATTGAGGCACATTATTGCATGTTCATTTTACCAAGCACCTAATCATTCTTTAAAGATTCCTTGTTATTGATTATATGAGCTCAGGACATTTACATAAGTATCTTTCTTAGTCAGTTTGAAAAAGGACAAAAAATAAAGTTAATAAGTATTCAAACAAAGTAAATTTCATGATGCGTCACTGAATATGATTCCTTACAATGTGATAATCATCCATCTCCCATTATGACACATGTCTAAAAAAATGGATATAACTTTAATAATTCATCATGCAAAAGTTGCTTACCAGTGACCAGTATTAAGGGGAAAAAAATATGGAAAGCTGGATCAAGATGAGGATAACACATGATGTAAGTTAAATGTGAAATTTAATTCAATAAAAGGAGTGTACTGATTACAAAGATGCAACCAGACAATGATATGTGACATCAAACTCACAGTGGGTATAACAGTGGTGACATTTGGGACAGGAGTGACTGCTGATAGTGGTGGTGGCCGCACACCATCTATGGTCAGCTCCTGCCGTGCTAACGAAACCCGCAGGTAGGGTAAAGTTTTCTAAGGGCAAGAAATCAATCTCTTATCAAAAGCATGTACAGTATATACACATTTAAAGTACATATTAATACTATAACTACCAAATAAGATGGTTTAAACAATACAAAAGTACTAAGATCCACCTTCATAACACTGATACGAATGACAATAAAATGTGATTTCCTTCTAACACTTGGAGAATAATCACTGAAAAAAAATTACTAAATTCATGTTGTAAAACATGAACTTTTCTGCAATTTGGTCAAAATAGCTACATTATACAGTACAGTAAAAACCCTGAGTACTGGATTAATTAAGCCACAGCGATGTTGTTACTCAGACGGAATCCAATATTTGGATGTCCATATCAGCAAAGGCACAACTGTTCAAAACAACAGCCAGCATAATACACTAACACAGGTTGGCTTATTTAAGTTCATAATAAACAAGTTCAAGTAAGTTCATATTTTTTGATGGATGGCCTTGTGCAGTGTGAGATAAAGTGGATGTGTACAGTATACAGCTGATGATGAAGTGAATATGTCCACAAAATCCACTTCATTCTCTAAAACTTCATTGTCATAGGTAGATTTAACAATGTGTAAAGGGGAATAGGTTCCAATCCTTTCTTATTCTGTATTTTACATATGCCAAAAATTAGTAAAAATTGCTATTATAAACAATGAAAGCAATACATAACACATCATAAAATACAATAGCATGGAGGTTATGTACAAAAATTAGCTGCTGCCCTTGAACCATCCTGTGGGTGACGCCGAGAGTTGAGAGTTCAGCCCACCCAGCTGACCTGAAGAGACATATGGCTGCTACGCCGTGTATGCCATGGCATCACAGCAGGGAGAGCATGATGCATCCATAAGTATTTTCAACTCCCACACAGAATACTGTTCACATTCATGGTTTTAATTTTTATAATTTTATATTATATTTCCTTTATTTATAAGTCACATTTAAGTACTGAAATGATTTTCTAATAACTTTCATAGTTTCATTACATGAATCAGTGGCAACATACATAGCCATCTCAAGGCCACAGCTGCCTGGAGTGTTGGCGATGTACGTTATGTATGAAGGCGTGTTGTTATTCAGACATGTCGTTCTCTGGTGGTCTGGTACTCGGGGTTTTTACTGTACTATCATTTGCTTTATAAAAAAATTCAAACGTAAATTTCAACATTCATATTTAAACTTTGAGATGGGGAAATGAGCACAACTGAAATATCCACAAGCAGCTATTCTTGAAATGTCTGAAGCTCACTAAATGACAACATTGGCCTCCCTGGCCTGCCACAGCCAGTGATAATTCAAACATTCCACTGTACAGTATTACCCCGGTTTCCCTTTCCGCGATTTCTCATTTACGCGGTACCTTGCCAGAACCGGACTTTCACTTTCCACGGTGCATCTACTCATATACGCGGTGAAGTATAATTTTTTTTTATTTTTTTTTATTTAGCTCATAAAATTCATACAAATTACCCTGCCAGAATATAATTTTCATTGCTGGAATTCTTACAATATGATGATCATTTTGAATATAAACATCATGGATTTTGCATTAGACATACAAATTTTAGATCTAATGTAATAATTTGGTTTACACAAAGCAAATATTTTATCGTTTGTGCAAAATATATGAAGTTTACATTCAAAATATTCCCTGACCTGCAAGGAATCCAGAAATGTCAATTATATTATCCTAACTTTAGTCTGAGGTATTATTTATTACTAAACGTTAAAATCTAGTGTTTCACCCAAACATTTCTCAGAGAGGTAGGAGCTAGTGAGCTGGGAAGAAGGGGGGTGGGGGGATTTGAGTCCATTATTTGAATGGACATTAACCTGGCGACTGTATTTCTCTTAAATATGAATTGTGTGAGCATACCATCATAAAATTTAGATGTTATTTTCACTACAACATAGGTATTGTGTCAGAAAAGTGGAGTTTGGGGGTTGAGCCAGTCTCTATTGGAATTAATCCCATATGTTCTGTTGTTCACTTTACGCGGTTTTCACTTTCCGCGGTACCCTGTTGGTTCAATTGACCGCGTAAATCGGGGTACTACTGTAATGTGAAAATAAGTTTCTAAATTAATTTGTTGTGGTATATCACACTCTGGTACTCATGGATAGAATATAGCTGGGTTTACTATCTATAACTTAAATGCTATAACATCTACCTTAGAAACCCACCTTGAGAAAAGGAACAAGGCATGGTTGTGGAGAAGAATTGAGGTCTTTTTGTAGCTCTTCCGTGAAAGCTTCTGGTTCCACTCTACCGTCAATTAGACCCTGAATCAAGTTGCGAACATTCCGGGCCACTGCTGCCCGCTGCTCGTTGGCTAATTTTAATAACGTGGCCAAGAAGTTTTTACATTTTGTTTTTGCTGATTCCGCTGAGATAGTTTGCTAAAGAACAAAACGAGATATTTTCATTTATATATATTAAGTTATTGATTCAATGGTCAAAAAATATAACTACTGTCCTGGTAACAATACAGTACCAGGTAGGTATACATGTTAAATTATAAACAATACATTTCACCAAAGACACCAGAATAATTTGAACTTAAATGGAAATGATCATTGTCATAAGTGCACTCTGGTTGTGGGAGATGTAAACCTGACTTCAAAACAGATGTGACACTACATTTGGACTAACCACCTATACTATATACAACAACTAGTGAACTACACTGACAAAAATAATTTGTATCAATATCCACATTAACTTATAGTATATCTTCTTTACATAGCTGATATACTTTCAACATCTAGATAAATTCCAAGGGAACTTTTTTTTTTTTACTCAAATGAAGAATGAAATTGAATGTTATGGAATGTGTAAATCAAGGTCTGTACTACTGTAAAAGTGGTATACTAGTACACATAAAATTGGCAATATACTCTCTCTGCTACAACTGGCAGGTACTGTACAATGAAAAACTCTTTGCAGGAAATAAGATGCAAGCTCCAAGTTCATTATAACATTTTAATGTGAACAAAATAAAATCAAGGAGTTCATGTAATTTTCTAAGCATATAAAATTTTTTCATAAAGTATAAGAGAACAGAAAATTCTTCTTTTCCTGCAGAGAAGCAGTATTTCATTACTATGAAAAGAAAAATTTTGAAAATGAAGTGCAACTCTCTCTCAGCAGTGTTCCAATGGGCCACAGAGGTTAAATGATACATTAATTAGGACTTGGGAGATAAATATAAGTTAGAAAATCTTTGCTCACACATCCATACACATTTGTTCACACACACATACTGTACACTCACAGCACACACACACAAAATAATAATAATAGGGCAGAGGAAAGGTAGGTAGTTAAAAAGAAATTCTTACAGAGCCAACAGTAGCAGGCTGAGAGGCTTGTGTGGTAGGAGTGGCAGTGGTCAACGTTGGAGCTACGATTGAGCCTGCAACCGTAGTGCCGGGGGTGACAGCTATAGAGGTGGGGGTGACGGCTGTGACAGCCTGCGTAGCTATGGTGGTGGTTGTGGTGGCCGTAGATAGTGCGGCTGTGTTCTGTGGGGTAATAAATACTTGAGTGCTTTGAATAAAAAATCATATTAAATTGTGTAAAATTACACAACAAAGGTAAAAGAATGATGTAAATTTATATAAAATCATGCAATGACATGTAATCAATATATTTACTGTAGCTGGTTAAGTAGCTACATTTCAGGATATTTTTGATGTTTCACAAAAAATTTTGAAAGAAAAGAAATAGTAATTGTCTATAGAAAATCTGAAACTAATCAAGTTCACTTATCTATCCACAGCCCCAAAACTGAAATACTGATTCTGAAATCCCATTTTGTGGCCAATTCTAGACTAAGCAACTTGTGTACACTAATGCCAATTCCACAAGGTTAATACCCAAAAGAGCACTCAGCAATGCTGGCTGACACTAACCTATTGATTATTAATATCTCACCATTACAGGTATTATCAAATCCCTCAAATGGTACAGTATATTGGAAACAAAAGATACCACTAAAACCCGGAGGCTAACAAATCTTGATATCATACTAACAGTGAGCATTACACGTCATATTAGGCTCCGCTACAAGACCAAAATGAAGGATCAAACCCTTACTTCCTCCCTATGTCACTATGACCTATCATCACGAAGGGAGGAATCCAACTTACCTGGTCCTGGATTAGTCATATATGTTTATATAGAAGAAAAGAGGGACTATAACCTCCTTACAGCTGACATGCTATTATCTAGACAGAGACTAAATTTCCATTTCAACCAGTCCCCTCCAAGGAATGGAAAGCCCATCAGCTCAAAAAGTATGTCTGGCTTTGGATATGTCAAAAGGACTTTCAAAGACAATCACCTTCTGTCTGTTCACCACATTAAATCAAATTTTTTAGCTTTGAGGGAAGGAAACCACAGTCTCACAACATTCCCTTTAAAGATTGATACAATCTTAAAATAACTACAGTATCTTCAGGAAATAACTTCTGAGCTCATCACTGTTATTACAAAGACTAACTTTCCTACAACCTTCTCAGACTGTCTGCAAGATACAGTACTTCCTTCTTTGATAAAAGAGAATCTAGCTACAGTATTGTGAAACAACATAACTTTCTGGTGCTCCTCTGCCTGAACACCAACAGCAGGAAGCTGCACCTCTGCCACACCCCCTCATCTTTAATAAAGCCATGGCATCAGTCAATCAAGTTATTCAGCGTTCTAAATACAGTACAAATAAACAAAACCAACACAGTATACTTCTCCTGAATAATCTTCATTCTAGATCAAAGCTTCCTGCTTTTCTCCAGCCCTCCCCAGGTGCTACAATGTTGTGGCAAAAGTACCTAGCCCTTTTCTACAGAGGCAAAATAGGGAAACCCAAGTCTTCACCAAATGAAGAGCTGACTGGAAGTGGGTGTTTGATCCAATATTCCTGGTTTGTAGCAGTCTAAAATGACAGGTAGAGTGTGATCTAGTGTGAGGCAACTGAGGTCAAAACTCATGAACCTCTGACCTTTAGTGATATCTTTAGCATCTACGGTAATTTCCCGTTTTAAGGGATATGATAGCAACTGTGAGGTACAGTTCTACCAATCAATGGATTAATACGGCCACTATTGCTCTGGGATTTCCTGGATGCCAGGTCATATATAAACCTAAATATAAATAGAAATTTGCATTGTTAACAAAAAATTAAGCAACATCTTTAACCTATATAAAAATAAGCATTGTTGAACTTGCACAGAAATTCAGGGAGCAGTGTCAGAACCAATACTAAGACAAAGGTAGAAAGTTAGGGTGCACAGGAGTTTTGTTCTCAAAGAATCAAGCTACACATGCAGTTATAGTACTAGCTACAAAATATCTACAGGCTAGCTATCTAAATCCTTGGCATCAGCAGGAGATATTAATTTGGCAAATGCTCAGACTGGACATATCAATTCATCATATGCAGATCATCATAATCTGCAAACACTTCAAATTAAAGATAGTCAATACGTAGTCTGCCTTAAATTATTGTACCATTCCTTCTGCAGATTCAGGATAATACTTGGAGAGATAACTTTGCTTTTTAGTAACAACGATGGATTTAAATATTAAATAAAGATATTTTACATGTTCAACAACATAAACCAAGAGACTTGTGAGTCGTATACAGGTACTTGGTTAGCCGTTTGGTACGTCCTGATATGATATCTAGGAGTTATATTTATGAAACTCTCATGATCCCCACTGATGCAGAAATCCACTTCAAAAAAATCTGATAAATCAAGAGTGCAAATAAAAAAGCCAACAAAATTTCATTGCACTCTATACCTTTTTCTTATTCTCCCCTTACCTTTCTTGCATGTTAAATGTTGGGCTCTATTACAGAAGTGAAGGGCCCCTGATCACCCAAGACACCAGAAAGCCTAGTAAATGTACTGTACTGTACTCCCTTTCTGAGGCTTATCTTGTAAGATGAAACTGCTGCTAAATGAAAGCCCAGACCAAACTTGTATATTCAGTATCAGTATAAAAGTGGTTCTCAACCTCTGGTTAATGGAAGGCTCAGTAAAAATATCATACAAATTTGAGCAATTTTCAATTAATTCCCCACTTTCCCCAGTCAGTTCAATCTGATAAAGTGACAAATCAATGTTTCTAATGGTATGCAAATAAAAAATTGGTAGACCATAATGTTCCAAAGAAATTAAAGGCTGTAAAGGGCAATTCTCTCATTGTGAAGAACAGCAAAAGGGAAAACTGGTTTCCAGTCTGATGTCACGCTACCATACCCGGTGTGACAGCTGCTGGACCGATGCAGCTGTGGGTAACAAAGACCTAAAGAAGGCAGCATATTGGTCCAACCTCAAAAGAGGAGGAATAATCATCTTTATGAATTGCTTAAGCCTTTCAAACTATCAAATTAAAAAATAGTATGAAACAAATGTTTTAATTTTATATCATGTTGTCTGTAGCAAAAGGATCCAGCATATGACAGTTGATCACACACAAGGAGCCAGCAAGTCTGGCTGCCCTATCTCCAATTCCCTTCATCCCCCTTTCAACACAATAAGTTATACACCAATAAAAGCACTATTGAAGGTGAAAGTGGGTACCATAAGCTTGATGACCCATTAGGGGAGTGCAGAGACAATACAATATTATCAATAAAAAATATACAGTATAGTCTGCATTTATGCGGATTTTGTTTACGCGTTTGGTCATTTATGCAGAACCTTGCCAGAATGAAATATTTTAATTACGCGGTAAATTTCATCATTTATGCGGGAAGCGGCGCGGGCAGGGTGCGCACAAGGTCGCCCAGTCATCAAAACATTACCGAGTTCTTCACCCGCCACCCACCACAGCCAGCCCAAGTCAGTGATAGTGAGGATATGGACTTTGAGGGGTTTGACAAAGAGGCCCTGCAAGCCTCTGTGGTGGATAGTGATACAGGTGAGGGCCAATAATCTGCCCTCTGCCTCGGGACCAACCTACCATCCCCGTGTGCCCAGCCATCTTTTCTACTAACGTAAGTGTTAAAAAACCTAATATTATTGATATTTCTCTTAAATATTAATTGTGTATGCATACCATCATAAAATTAAGATGTTATTTTTACTACAACGTACGTATTGTGTCGGAAAAAGTGGAGTTTGGGGGTCAGCCCAGTCTCTATTTCAATTAATCCCATGTTCTGTTATTTCGTTTACGCGTTTCTCGTTTTACGCGGACCTCCACGGGTTCAATTGACCGCGTAAATGCAGACTATACTGTATGCTCTATTAAAAGATGTTTTAGCAGTATGGAGCCCATTGGCAACCTGTACACCATAAACAGTGATTACTGAAAATGCCCAAATTTTGTTTGGTTTGTTACATGTACAGTATTGCCACAGTTGATGCACTTCTAACTTAGCAGGAAATATCTAATTAAAATAATATCTGCAATGAGTTTCACAAGTTTGCGAGGGTTGCACCTGAAGAAGAGAGAGAAAAAAATCACCAAAACTGCATAATACAAATAACTTTCTAAATGTTAAAAATAAGGATGCATTCCACAACCAACTCTCCACTGCACCATACCCGTTTCTACCACTATTTCATGACATTCAAATACGTCATCAATGCAACAATAAATAATATATAATAAAATATAATATCAAATAAAGACTACAGGACTTGCCCCATGTAATGTTCTCCCGGTACAGTATTTTCCTCACCTCCACATACGTGTTAAAAACAGTCTAGTGTATGTCGTATAATATATTATTCGGATTTCAACCAAAGCCACCAGATATTAAGGTAATAAAAAAAATGGTAATAGGATTATTTTGCTCATCTTTAACACAGTCTACAGCCTCACCGTATATTAATGAAGTACAGTATACACAGTAAACTTAAATAAAATGTAGCCATGAAAGTGTGACTAGATGGTAACAATCCCTCCCCCTCCTCTCCTAGCCCGCTTTGGCATGAGAAGACAAATTGCCTACACGAGTCAAGAGTCTCCCACTGAGGCCATAACTCCCCAAAATATGGTGGAATAACACCGATTACAAATTCATAAAAGGTAATAATGGGTTACATCTCCAAACTAAATTTCTACAGAATCCATTTACTGTATAGTGGTTCTAGTAACTACATTTTGAAGTTACTAAAGCAGACTGAAGGAAGAGTGCACACACACACACACACACACCCACTCATGTATGCTACAGAACACAGTGGCTCTTGCAGTTTCTAATGGTAGGTTTACTCATGTACATACAACCTAATATACTACAGTATAGTACATCTTTATGCAAACACTAAAGTGCTTTCAATAATGTGCAGTCATGCAGGAAAACCTTTGAAGACTCTTTTGAAAATTCATATAAAGTACATATGTACTTGTACATAATTATGATCTTCACAACATCCAGCAGTTACAAAACTATCAATGGCCTTTCCAAAAGGTAATTTAATTTTTAATAGCTCCAATTTATATAGTTACAAGATTCACTTTTTCCAATAGCTAATAAAAAAATAATAATATACAGCACAAAAGACAC